GGTTTCGATATCGACTTTCTATTTACAAGCCATAAATTTTCATTTTTACAAGCCATAACTTTTTATTTTTACAAGCCATTCTTTATCTATACATATATGTGATGATTAAGTACTTAAATTTTCGATTTCGGTTTCGATTTGGATATGAATTATTGCAGGTTCATAAACGATCAAAATGTAAAGAAAGCAATAAGTTCGGCAAGATAAATGTAACTTAACAAATGTTAATAAACAAAAAAACGTCATTTGATTTATCAAGATAGATGTTTCGTTTTAATTATTTGTATCTATAAATAGAGTTAGCATCTTCGATTCGAAGAACAACACAAACTTGGAGTTATTTCCTATCTCTCACTTGAGACAAAACACTAAATCCTCATAGAGCATATACTTAATCAAAGATCAAAGATGGCGAGTGATAACACCGTATTTTGACCACTTTTATGGATCATTTTGAAATACTTTTTCGATGTTTTTAATTGCTTTTAAGTACTTTTATTACGTTTTTCTAGTATTTGTAGTTCCAAGACTCTTTTCAGGTAACTTAGGGAAAAGCTTAACAAAATGGATAGAAAACCAGATTTGAGGTCAGAGTCAAACCGTCAGAAGTTCACCCCCGATTGAAGGCCTTCTCACCGTCTGATCCAGCTCAAATTTGGAGATCTTAAAGATGGAAGTATCAGCTTTCCAGAACACTTTACAGCTTGGCAATCCAACGGTTCAATCAAAAGATACGCGAAGAACAAGATATCTCGTAAACCAGCCGGCAAGCGTTTCCACCCGCGGCCAACAGACCATTCCCCGCGGTCACAACCACCGCGACCGCGGCCAGCCACCCTTTCCCCGTGGTCACGCACATCCCGACCGCGGCCAGCTAACTCCGACTTTGAAGGCCCATTTCCGAAGCCTGTATCATTTTCCCAGCCTCAATTCTGGAACCCTAGACAACAGAGAGTATTGGAGACTATAAATACATGTCATTTAGGTCGTTTTTAAGAAGAGAAGAAGAGAGACGAAATACTTTACAGAAATTTTACTTTAAGCTTTGTTTTTAGGTTTTAGGGAGAGAGAGATCTGTCTCTTGAACCCTTGTTATTTCTTTTCAATTTCGGTTTGTATTCTACTTTTTAATACTATGTTTTTGATTTTGTTTATTATGTCTGAATAGTTTTATTGTTGGGTCTAACGGATTTTCGATGGGGATTTATATGTTCGGTGAGGATTCCATGAGCTTTTGAGCCGAATCTTAGAACTTTTTCTTCTGAATTCGTTTTTACTGCATGAGAGCAGCGTCATGAACTACAATCTGATCCAGATGCTTGGTGACACGAAAGTGTTCATCCGGTGTCAGATCTAGTTTGGGAGAGCAAAGCAAACATAGGAGTGGAAACCTACCTATGGGCGATTTGTGAATGCTGACGAGTCTTAAACATAATGCATCTCTTCTTTTCCAGGGCCAGAGTGGAAACCTACTGGTCAGGGTTGAGAGAGATAGTTGTCTATGATCACGACAGTGGTGTATTCATACCTCCGTGACTCCAGTTCAAAAAGTTTAAGCTAAGATCTTATCAATTTTACTCTCTAGCAATTTTTGAATCGTTCGTAGCCCTGAGAAAACTTCCCTGAACCCTAGCGCCTCTTTTCTTATAGATTTACACCGATTTTCATTCAAGCTTTAGTCTAGTTTATTTACTCTTTCAATCGATTTTCATTCAAGCAATTGGGTTAGCCGTTTTTCCCGTTTTCACCCGTTTTCGTTAAGTTTAGTTATTAGGTCATTTTAATTCCCGTAGTTTCTCTTTAAAATTCGTTTTTACGTTTTAAACACACCACCAAAACCCTCACAAAACTCGCCTGGTTCTAGACTTCCTTACTTCATATTTCTTTCGAAGGCTTTTGTAGGAAAGATCCTCCTTCCCTGTGGATTCGATCCCTAAGTACTACAATCAATCAGCTGTGCACTTGCGGCTTTTGATTTCATTTAGGGTAAAACTTGACACCCTCACGACACACGAACACATCAGCGAGACTTAGCATTACCATGGTATTTTTTTCTTGTCCTAGTTGTGACGAGTGAATATGTCCCTTCATTTGCCGTAGAAGAAACCGAGCCAAAGAAGTTATGGGATCAATGTGTTGTTAAAATCAGCCCAAAGTGTGCATTGGATATCATTGTTCAAGATTTTGGAAATGGAGTTGTCTCCATTCCTTGCTGTCAGGAACTTGTTAAAGAAGGAAAGAGTGTCACGATACCCTTATCAAATATATTCGCTGATAGACCTACCTTAATCGCAAACGAAACCAAATATTTACAGAAAAGAGATGAATTGTGGGCTCAATGTGTTTCTGTCTCAAAATCCATTTAAAACCGCTTGATTCTGTTCCAACATAATAATATGTGAGCTTAAAGAAATAAAAATGTTTGTTCTTACGTTTATAATATGCTATATATCAATGTGAGGCTTTAATATTATTACATACTTTAATATAGTAGCATTGTTTCACACGGTATTAAGCCTTTGACGTGAGCGACAAACAATAAAAGAGTTGAGCGGGTCATTACACACGCATTATCATCACCGTCTACAATCTTGTATTTAAACTTTTAAAAGTCAATTGTGTGTGTGTGTGTGTCTGTTTTTCTTTAAAAAAAAAGCGGGGATAAATCTTCTTGATTTTCCTGAAGAATGCATCACCACTGTGATTTCTTTAACCAGCGCTTTATTCGTTTTTCGGGCTAAGAAGTATGGAATGGTTGTTGGCGAAAATGAAGAGGTTACCATCGGTGTTTAGCCAAACAAAAGGGTATAGATTGTTTTCCTATGGATCGTCTGTTTGTCTAAGAAGTTGAGAGTCGTTGAGTTTTTGTTGTTCATTTCTTCCGGGAGGATATACTCGTAGTTGAGAGCGTCTCGGCCTCCAACTACGATGAAAGTGCCATCAGGGAGAGTGGCTTGTGTTGAGTACCATCTCCTAGCAGCCAATGCTTTGGGATATTCTTTCCATACACAGTTTTCATAGTTGACAAGGTATTTTGCCGTGTTTGCTCCTCCTTCGAACCCTCTGGTACTAACCAAAGTCCCGTTTACGGTTAAACCTTCTAATGAACACCATGTGTCCGTTGTAAGCTGCCATATTTTTTCATTATATTATAAGTCCATCAAATCAACCATTACTAATATTGATGAACTCCGGATCATGTGATTTTTTGCACATGATCCAGATCAACTACCAAAAACATTAATGTGCATCAAGACACAAACTTTTTTTTTTTGGATAAAATAATTTGAAAGTTTTTAAAAAGTCCACATTTCAAATATTGAACATTACTCATATATACTTTGTAACCATAAGAATAAAAGATAGTTTTGTTACCGCGAGAGGCTTGACGTTTCCGGTTTTGGATATCAACTTTCTATTTTTACAAGTCATAAATGTTTATTTTTACAAGCCATAACTTTTTATTTTTACAAACCATACTTTATCTATACATATACTTGATGATTACATACTTAAATTTTCGATTTCTGTTTCGATTTGGATATGAATTATTGCAGGTTCATAAACGATCAAAAGGTAAAGAAAGCAATAAGTTCGGCAAGATAAATGTAACTTAACAAATGTTAATAAACAAAAAAACGTCATTTGAATTATCAAGATAGATGTTTCGTTTTAATTATTTGTATTTATAAATAGAGTTAGCATCTTCGATTCGAAGAACAACAAAAACTTGGAGTTATTTCCTATCTCTCACTTGAGACAAAACACTAAATCCTCATAGAGCATATACTTAATCAAAGATCAAAGATGACGAGACTTAGCATTACCATGGTATTTTTTCTTGTCCTAGTTGTGACGAGTGAATATGTTCCTTCATTTGCCGTAGAAGAAACCGAGCCAAAGAAGTTATGGGATCAATGTGTTGTTAAAATCAGCCCAAAAGTGTGCATTGGATATCATTGGTCAAGTTTTTGGGAATGGAGTTGTCTCCATTCCTTGCTGTCAGGAACTTGTTAAAGAAGGAAAGGAGTGTCACGATACCCTTATCATATATCGCTGATAGACCTACCTTAATCGCAAACGAAACCAAATATTGACAGAAAAGAGATGAATTGTGGGCACAATGTGTTTCTGTCTCAAAATCCATTTAAAACCGCTTGATTCTGTTCCAACATAATAATATGTGAGCTTAAAGAAAAAAAATTGTTTTTTCTTACATTTATAATATGCTATATATCAATGTGAGGCTTTAATATTATTACATACTTTAATATAGTAGCATTGTTTCAAACGGTATTAAGCCTTTGACGTGAGCGAAAAACAATAAAAGAGTTGAGCGGGTCATTACACGCGCATTATCATCATCGCCTACAATCTTGTATTTGAACTTCTAAAAGTCAATTGTGTGTGTGTGTGTCTGTTTTTCTTTAAAAAAAAAGCGAGGATAAATCTTCTTGATTTTCCTGAAGAATGCATCGCCACTGTGATTTCTTTAATCAGCGTTTTTTCGTTTTCGGGCTAAGAAGTATGGAATGGTTGTTGGCGAAAATGAAGAGGTTACCATCGGTGTTTAGCCAAACAAAAGGGTATAGATTGTTTTCCTATGGATCGTCTGTTTGTCTAAGAAGTTGAGAGTCGTAGAATTTTTTGTTGTTCATTTCTTCCGAGAGGATATACTCGTAGTTGAGAGCATCTCGGCCTCCAACTACGATGAAAGTGCCATCAGGGAGAGTGTCTTGTGTTGAGTACCATCTCCTAGCAGCAAATGCTTTGGGATATTCCTTCCATACACAGTTTTCACAGTTGACAAGGTATTTCGCCGTGTTTGCTCCTCCTTCGAACCCTCCGGTACTAACCAAAGTCCCTTTACGGTTAAACCTCCTGACGAACACCATGTGTCCGTTGTAAGCTGCCATATTTTTTAATTATATTATTAGTCCATCAAATCAACCATTAATTAATAATATTGAAGAAACCGAGCCAAAGAAGTTATGGGATCAATGTGTTTAAAAATCAGCCCAAAGTGTGCATTGAATATCATTGGTCAAGTTTTTGGAAATGGAGTTGTCTCCATTCCTTGCTGTCAGGAACTTGTTAAAGAAGGAAATGAGTGTCACGATACCCTTATCAAATATATCGTTGATAGACCTACCTTAATCGCAAACGAAACCAAATATTTACAGAAAAGAGATGAATTGTGGGCTCATTGTGTTTCTGTCTCAAAAGCCATTTAAAACCGCTTGATTATGTTCCAACATAATAATATGTGAGCTTAAAGAAAAAAAATTGTTTGTTCTTACATTTATAATATGCTATATATCAATGTGAGGTTTTAATATTATTACATACTTTAATATAGTAATAAAGTATGTAATTTTACCTCCATTTATAATATGCTATATATATTTCCTCCATTCCCCTCTTCTCATCGACGATGGCAGAATGGTAATTTTACACAATCTCCCCTGTTTTTTTTTTTTTTTTGTATGTATGGGATTCAAGAAATTGATTGTTTGAGAGAAATGTGATTTAGAGCTTTTGGATGGAAAAGAGAAGCGGGAAGAAATGTTTCATGTTGTCTGCGAGGGAACTAGAGATCACTTGGGCTGATTCTCCTGATATCTGGTCATGGATTTCGATTCCGGACTCAAGGTTAATTACTTTCATCTCCATATTTTTGCTTTCTTGAATGAAAAGCTTTTTCGTGTTGATTTTGATTAGTCTGTGACAGGTTTGAGGTAGTTGCAGCGCTTGGAATGATATGTTGGTTAGAAATCCGAGGCAAAGTAAGCACATCACTTCTCTCCAATGGCATCATTTATGGAGCTTAGCTTCTTTTTAAGGATAAAGAAACGGGAGCATTTGGATTTCAGAATCAGCCTGTGTAGACGAGCTTTGGATCCACAAGAAACTTGCTTCCTAATAATAGACAAGAGTGTCTTGTGCATACATACGGGAGTCCTCGTCCTCCTAGGGAAGATGGGTGGTTGGAGATTAAGCTTGGTGAGTATTATGTCGGTTTTGATGAGGAGGAGGAGCTCGAAATGTCAATGTTTGAGACAAGTTACTGTGATTGGAAAGGCGGAATCATTGTTCAAGGGATCGAGATTAGGCCAAAAGCAGAAATGTTGTAATTCAGTAACTCCACTCGCAAGTGAATTCTAGTTTGTTGTGTGATTAAAAAAAAAATAATTGAAACGTCTATGCTATGCAATGCAAGGACATCAGGACATGAACATTTTTTCTCACGTCGTGGTGTGTGTGTAATCATGATCTTGGTTTGTAATTCTAGTTTGTTTTTTCCTGGAACCGTTGCTTCTGTTTCCATTGTAAGGAATGATTGCACTCCAAAATCACACGATCAAACTAAATCAGAATAAAAAACAGAGTGAAACAATACTCTTAAGGGTTTGAGAGATAATCTCGCGTACTCCTCCCGCATTATAGAAATTCTCAAATCTCCTTCTCGTAATATTTAATTTGTTTTCGATTTATTTCAAAGAAAGAAAAAGGGAGAAAAGCGGTCAAATACTGGCAGGTCATTACTAAAGTTTCATATTTACTAACCCAACCACGAAGAACTCCACCCAGTCTGTCATATCGGGTTGAATCCGAAGAAATCGGGTTTAGGGTCAAAAATCGGAGACAAAATTGTGGTAAGTCTGAAAAAAAAATATTCAAATTTCGAAATCGTACTCTCGTCGTCGTCTTCGCCTAGTATTCTCTGGGACAACTACAAGTGATTTGCTGCTGCCTGACTTAAATCAACACCTCACTATATCAGGTTCGTTCGTCTTCGTCCTCTGATTTCTAATTTCTATCTAGATTACTTTGTAGATTTCAACTCGGTTTTGTGTAGAATCCAAAATTCGATCTATATGTTCTCTATTCGGTTGGCAATTACAAAATAGGAGTCATGGATTTAGGCAACGAAAGAATGTTTAGATATGCTAGACCAGAACTGTACTCAGAATCCGAATCGTCGCAGGAGAAAATGGTAGAAGGACTTGCCGAATCTGAGATGGATAATAATCAGATAGTGTTGTGGAGGGGAACTGAGGCTGAGGCTGAGGAGGAGGAGAATCAGCCATTGCCACCCGTGAGAATGTTCTTCGAGCCCAGTCAGTATCATAATGCAATAAAGCTGGGAACAAGATGTTATATCCACAAAGATGTTGCTAAATTGGAGTCCCTAGACCTTGAACCACATGAGCTGTTATGGTTTACAGAACACCCACAGTTCAAGCACTTTTGGCATATGCATAGGGCCATGCATGAGGACACAACACACAAGATGATGGGAATGTGGTTGCTTCTTCTTTGGACAGCAAACACAAATAAGAAGAGGGAAGCTTGGTTTGTAGTGAATGGCGTACCAATTCGCTATTCCCTTAGAGAGCATGCCATTTTGTGTGGATTAAACTGTCTCCCGTACCTAGAGGACTATGAGAGCATAGGAAGTTCTTCGTTTAAGAATAGATATTTCCAGGAAACCGTCCCCTCCCTTGCTGCTGTTGAGAAAAAGCTAGAGTCGATGCGAGGACTAGTTAATCCTGATCGGTTGAAGATGTGTGTCGTTTACTTCTTATCCTCTATAATTAGTGGGAAAACGAAAACCGGTAAGGGAGCACCATCTGTTGACCCCTTATTCCTGAGGATTGTGGATGATCTCGAGGCTTGTAAAAGGTTTCCTTGGGGTAGATATTCATTCGATGTAAATATGAAGGAGATTGAGCACACAATGAGGCATTTCAATGGGGTCGTCGGAACAGATGCGTGGACATTTCCAAGGTTTGTTACTCCCTTGGAGGTATGTCACATTATAAAGAATTTGTAAATATGTAATACTATGAGCGTAACTGTAATTTGTTGGGTTTATGTGTAGTTGCTAGCCTTTAAGGCCATCCTATGTCTGAAGAACAAATACAGAGAAGATGTTAGAGGAGCAGGGAGGGATTGTCCCCGGATGTGCAGGCAGAAGTTCCAACCATTCACACTAAAAGGTTTCTCTTTGTCGGAACTCAATGAAACACTGGGTAACACTAGGGTCATCGGGAGTATATTGCAACCATCCGAGGATGAGGTAATTATGCTTGCTTGAGTCATGGAGAGGAATGAAGAGGAAGATATCGGTGATATCGTTCATGAAAATTGGACGAGGCGTTTAGTTGAGAACAAGAAGCCGATATTCTGGAAAGAGATATGCAAGATCGATGTTGATGCCCGAGATAATAAGGAGTGGGTAAACCATCCTGTAGCGGCTAAGAATAATGTGGGGACGGAGAAGGTGGCGCCTCTTGGAATTGTGGAACAGCTTCAGAGCTTGCAGAAGAGTATGGACGCTCAGTTTCTCCGAATCAGTGCCTGAATGAATAGCTTTGATACAAGACTTTGCTCTGTAGAACAATATGTAAAAGAGACAAGAAGAGAAGGAGAAGGACCAGGAGATGAGGGAGGAGAAGTTTTTCGAAATGATGTAGAACATGAACATGATCAAGCTGGAGAGAAACTTGAAAGTCTGGTGAAAACTGAGAAAGCGATGAAGCAGAAACAATCAAAGAAGAAACAGCCGAAGCAGAAGCCTAAGAAGAAGCAGAAGGAGCCGGAGCAGAAGGAGCCGGAGCAAAAGGAAGCGGAGCAGAAGGAAGCGGAGCAGAAGGAAGCGGAGCAGAAGGAGGCGGAGCAGAAGGAGGCGGCGTAGAAGGAGGCGGAGAAGAAGGAGGCAGATCAGAAGAGGCGGAGCAGAAAGAGCCGGAGCAGAAAGAGCCGGAGATGAATGAGGCGGAGCTGAAAGAGGCGGAGCAGCTTGTAGCCCGATCTCCGTACCTGCTTAGAAGTAAAGAGGTATTGAAGTTTGAAGAGTAATATCCATTGTTTTGGTAATACTTAATATTTCGTGGTAACACTATGTTGTATTACTTGGTATGTGTAGGTAGAACCAGACGGTGCTGACGGTGTGAACGCAGAAGTGGGTGCAGGTAAACGGAAACAAGAGCAATCGAAGCTAGGGCCAAACACAAAGCAGAGACGTTAAGTCTCCTATGACATTTGATATATGTACTTCTATTTCTATTATTGATTTTGGATTATTGAAAACCAAATATTGGGAAAACTTGGGATTATTGGTGAAACCACATATAGATTGTATAACCTAGTATTATTAGGTGTAACCATCTTAGTATTATTTGGTGTAACCACTTATATATGTGGAATACTAGGCCTAAACAGTTCGAGTTAAAATTAGTAGAATAATGTTTGTACACAACATAAGGACAACATAAGGGAGTAACTAAACATAACGAAATGTGCACATACGGAATCCAGAACATAAGAAAGTACAAAAAACAAAAAACATAAGACAGAAAACATCAGACACATTCACCAGTCTCCCATATCAGAAAAAATCCTAACTACCCGGTACACATATAGGAAGAACCTTCCGCATTCGCGAGTTAAAAAGCAGTAGTTGTTGATGTTCCCTGGTTTATACTCATCATTCCACCAACGCTCCTATCGGTTAACTGTACCGCACAGACAATGGATAAGAGTATTGAGGCGCGGTAAAAAGCGACGGTGGCCTTCATTGGATATCTCTGGCAAACCCATTGGCCAACCAAGAGATACTTCTGCAACGAGGTCACGGGTGCACTTCCTTATTGTTTCCCGGCTTAGTTTGTTGAAGTACTCATCACCCTCCGGATGTTCCATAACAAGTTTCATGAACATACCATATACATATACTGCACGCGTGTACCCTCTATCCGCTGCTTCCTTGATCAGTAGAATCCCTCCAAAATCTTTTCGATGAAAAAAGAGTTGCATACCTCGCATGAAAATCATGCCTGGATTTCGTGCATCATAGAACTCTCTGAAGACATCATTGATGAGATGGACATCTTGATCCTCTGGATGACCCATATTAAAGGGATCAACTTCAGCATAGAAGCCAGGGCCTCTGGTGCAGTCGTTGAACCTATGACAAATCGAGTGAATCCGTATAAGGTCACCAATTGTGTTAGCCAACTTCGCTAGAACCTTTTCCAGTAGTTCATCTGGTAGGGCTAGTAAGTAGGAGTACTCTGCCATGGATTTATATATGAAAGTGGTGGAGGCCGAGTTTTGTGGAGAAAAGTTCTGAAACCCTAAGAGAAAATAATGGATTTTGTAATATAAAAGGAATATTATTACTTAATAATGAGTTATGTCTACAACTAAAATTTAAAAAACCAAACAACATCAACTGATCATTTCCAGTCATATAGATTTGAACTTATTTTATATTTGTCATAACCAAAACAAATGACTAATTACTTACCCATTCGGATGTGTCCATGTTTTAGATTTCTCTCTCTACGAATCCGCAATGCATGCACTTTAATCCTATTTCCAGAACCAGAATCAATTCGTGTTCCGGTTTTGTACAACGTTTGTGGGAAGGTTTATGGACTGAGATGTCTTTGTTCTTCTCCTCAACAAAAAATTAGATATAAATTTTCACTCATGATCAGGACATATTTATAAACCATTAAACAAAGAGAATATATTACCTTTGGCAGATTTTGCTTGAATTGTTCCCACAGCTCTGCTTGCTCGATCTCAGAATCAGTTGGCGAAGGTGGCGACTTAGGTTCCACCACACCAAATCTCATGTTCAAAGGTGGTGGGCTGATGATCAGCAGACCATTATCATCATATTTTTTCCATCTAATTTCTCCATTTTGTTTATGTATTGTTAGAAAAGATGAGACGACTTGAAGAATTCTAGAAGTACAATATCTCAAGTGTCTTTTTATAGAGTGGGCAATAGTATTCAGTTTTTACGAATTTCAAGTTCTGTGGGGAAGACTACTAATATTTTTAATGTATAGACAATGTTCCCTGGATGATATTTGTCTACTCAGCATTTACTCACGTGAGAGGATTTATTTATTGTATAGACGCGTTGCATGGACGGAAAACGAGGAAAGAGGGAACGACGCATTTATTGATCTACTTGTACCAGTCTTACGGCTGTTAATGCTTTCATTAACTGCCGTAAGACTGGTACAACTACCAACACTTTATTTGATTTTTACCAATAAATTAAGTAAATAAATATTTTTGGGTTTATTAGGGGAGAGAAAGATGTGACTTTTAATTGCTCTGCACGATAAGGCTGAACGGTTTTGAAGGGTATTTATTATATGAGACGCACGGTACGGTTTTGCCTTTCTCTTTCCATAAATATAACTCGCTCTCTTTCTTACTCATATGAGACCACGTTGCCTCAACCATTTCCTCCTTCAGGTTGTTTACCGATTCCTGTAGCTTGGAAATCTCCGTCGAGTGAATCCGGTTCATGGTTTAGTCCAACCACTCCGGCCCTGCATCTCGGTCAAATCATGCCGAACATCTGCAATCTCTTCTAGCATCACCTCATCACACCACTTGAAGAGATGACATCCGGGATTCTACAAGACATAAACCGTATAAATATTTTTGGTACGAAATTAAAAGCAATCAACAGCTGAACTTATGTATTCCTTATTGCAAGCGAAGAATCTTCTTCCCGGATCCAAAACGGTGTGGAAAGTTTTGATGATTGATTTACGATGACAATAACAGAATCGCGGGATTCGAGAATCTTTGTACAATTCGAGTGGAGTGCTCCCGCTTGAAATCTCCGAGTCGGACGACGAGCTGAGACTTGGCATTCTTGCAACAAAATGTTGTTTTGCAAACAAGTGAGTGTTTTGTGTTTTGGTTGTGATTTGTACGTAAACCCAGATATTTTAATGAATTTTGATGTTTGGGGGGAAACTCAAATTTGGAAATGTCTGTTTTGGGAGGGAAACTCAAAATTGAAAATATTTGAGGTTTTGGGGGGAGGGGACAAATTTGAGTTTCATGGATAAACCCGAGAAATAATAAATAATTGTAGTAGGGTCTATTTTTCCAACCAATAAGACACGTGTTCAAGTGAAAACACATGTTGTTTATTGTAACTGGGAATTTTAAACGTAGTTGTGCCTTGTTTTCCAGTTATACACATCGTCCACATAGTGTTACCTTTTGTGGATATACCGTATTCGCAGTAATACTGAAATGTCAAGAATATATTCCGGTAATACGTTTCATAATTGGTTATAAAAGCAAATTATCAACTTGTTCATAAAACAAAATTCAAGGAAAAGTATGATACGTATTTTTCCCATCATTGATGGACTAAGCTTGACAATGTCACTATAGAAGGAGATTGACTTGGTGTGGTGAGATTCATATTATTTCTTCGTTATTTTTAATAGTTTAAAACACTGTTTACTAGTCCCTGATAAGTGTTAGCATGAAAACGACCATTTTTATAAAAACTGATTATTATCATGGTCGTATTTTGCCATCTCCAAATTATGAAATCGGTTTAAATTGGTCTATTGGTGGTTAAGGGTTGGTTAACTTTCTTTAAAACGATGTCACCTGGAAACGGGTCTTATTTCCTATTATTATAATAATATTCTACCTGACACATAGACACATGTTCAGCTAAAGAACACCTGTCGTAACTCACATGTGGCTGACATAATTTATTTTATTATGGACACATGTCGTTTATTGTAACTGGGAATTCAAAACGTAGTTGTGCCTTGCTTTCCAGTTATACACATCGTCCACATAGTGTTACTTCGTTTCATAATTGGTTATAAAAGCAAATTATCAACTTGTTCATCAAACAAAATTTGAGGAAAAGTATGATACATATTCTTTCCATCATTGATGGACTAAGCTTGACAATGTCACTATAGAAGGAGATTGCCTTAAGTGTCGGGTGTGGTGAAATTCGTATTTATTTCTTCATTATTTTTAGTAGTTTAAAACACTGTTTACTACTCCCTGATAAATGTTAGCATGAAAACGACCATTTTTAAAAATACTGATTATTATCGTGGTCGTATTTTGCCATCTCTAAATTATGAAATCGGTTTAAATTGGTCTATTGGTGGTTAAGGGTTGGTTAAGTTCTTCAAAACGATGTCACCTGGAAACGGGTCTCTTTTAATCTTATTTTCTATTATTATAATAATATTCTACCTGACACATGATCACCTTTCTCTTCTTCCGACGAAC